AGACAGACAGACAGACAGATAGACAGAAAGAAAGAAACAAAGAATTGACTGTTAAAAAAATTATATCGTTATATTTGTAATAAAATATCTTATATTTTACTGTTAACCATTTTTAAAAAGCAACCATAAGTGATTGAAAATAGAATTAGTGAAAAATGTTGGCCTCAGAATAACACTATAAAAAAAACTTTACTCTTTTTTAGGTTGACTTTGGTGGAGTTGTTCCTGTGAGACTGATCAATTATATCGCCAGACGACAGCCTCTTTGTATTTCATATCTACGCGAATACCTGGAAAAATTCAAGGAATGAATATATTCGAAGTCCACTTGGTTGAGTTTGGTAAACCAATGCAATTTGGGGCTATTTTACTAAGGGACATATTTCCAAAATGGCGTCTATTTCGTCGATCCAGTTTTTTCTTCATCCACGAAATGGCTAATAAAGTGCTATGACTTAAGCATGAATTAGCATAAATTAGCCATTAACGACTCCAACAATTGAATTTTTAAAATGTAATAACTCTTTGCGTGTTCTTATATAAAAGACATCTAGTTTCCCGGTGCTACGCAGTGACAATCGTAAAACGCAAAGGCCAAATTTATACGCCGTACGATTTTTCTTCAGCGTCAGAAAAACCATGTCATGTAAATCGGCCTAAATGTCATATCAAACCTTGGGATCTGTTTTTAGGCTCAGCCTGTGATTGGTCGAAAAATACTATAGGGCGCTTTAAAACAAAACAGTTTGAAATAAAATGATGTAATGTAAAATAAAATGCATTTTAGAATTTTAATTTTAATTTTATTTTCAATTAACGCAAATTTGTTGTAACACATTTCAAAACAAAAAAAAAAAAAAAAAAAAAAAGAAACTAACATACTTATTTCAGTTAATAATAATATTTAGTACAAATTAAGGGTCGATATCCGTGTGATAAAGCTGTGAACAAAAACCATATCAGTGAAGTGATACGATATCACTTCACGGTAAACTGGGAATTTTTTTTTTTTTCATTTTATCGACCTTGAATGTGTAATAAACAAATTATTTCATGTTTAGAGCCTGATATCTTTTTTATTCACTCGTTTTCATATGATATCACTTGCTCCTTCGAGATGTGTTATGGAAAATCGTGAATAAAAATGATATCAAGCTGTTAAAATGTGGTAATCTCTATACACTAGTCATTTCCTTCAGTAACCAAAAAACTGAAAAAGGTCTTAAATGGAAAAAAAAGTTTTATATTGAAAATGGATTTGATTTGCGTGTAGATTTTAAGCTGACGATACACGCTGCAATTTTTTCTCGCGCTGGCAACGCAATTTCACATTTTTTTTTGCAGCAAAACATTGCAACGTCTACCATATCAAAAAGGTTTGAAATAAACTTTCTGGGTAAAAATCAGTATAAAATCCTTATTGGCTAGTCTGAATAGGATCATTGCATTGCGAGTAAACATGGGTGATAAAGAATGCAATTTTCAGTCTTCGCTATTTTTAGGCGTGCAATTCCGAAAATGTTGCAGACGGAAAAGTTCAAACTTTTTGACTTTTTGATTTTCTGCAACAATTCTTACGTTGCGAGACATCGTTGCCGTCAAAGTCATGTGGCATGATACACGCTGAGATCGTGTCTCACGCTGGCAATGCAACGGAAAAATTGAGATTGCGTTGCAATTCGAGAAAAAATTGCAGGATGTATCGGCAGCTTTGGTGTATTCAGTGACAAGTCGGTCCAACTTGACTTGAACATTGCTTTGCAGTTTGTCACTCAAGTGAATTTGGAAACGAAATTCCCTTTAAAAAATTTGAAACTTGTTATGGAAAAACATGACTAAAATAATATAATAAATATAATATAGATGTCTATTAACTGTATGAAAAATAGTATACAAAACTAATAATATTTTATTAAAAAGATCTTGCAACAAAAGACAATGCATCAGTCTTGAGCGTTCCAGCTATCTCATATCTCATATATCATATGATAACATGCAAATTAGTCATGCGGTGTTCCAGGGAGCAAACATTGAAAAAAGAGACCATTTTTAAAAGATCGGCTCGTCCTAGAGACTTTGGTTTCATCTCTACGCCAAATATTGTTTGAAACTATAAACAAAAATAATAAATACAAATTTTCAACTGTTACCTTTTGTCCCTGACTTTAGTTGGCAAATCGAGTAATGAATAGCCGGCAAAAAGCTTGTATTGTTGCTGCCATCCAAACATGGCTGCCGTCACATGACGATGCAAAGACTCCATGCATTCTCGACTTTCACATCCCCATCTCAAATTGAAATGTTTCTTAATTGAATTTATACTGTATTTATACTGTATACCTACTTTTATCTGTACAATACTGATTATCAGTTTAGATTATAAGTTATTTTTGCGTGTACAGGTCATGAAGAGTTTTGGTCTTACAGAAAATGTATTGACTTACGAAAATATTTTTAAAATTTACCTTAAACGTCTTCAAGCTTCTATCTTTTTCTGTTTTTTACTTCTTCATTTTATCTTTGGATACCAAACAAGGTATTTTCAACATTGCCGATCAACCTTCAGCAAAATAAGTGGGTTTTTACCCTCTGGTTACCCCCAAAGACGCAAAGGATTATGGGGATGTTAAAGTCGCGAATAAAGCAGTTGAAATTTCCTGATTTTAAATTGTTTCACCATCGATGATAACCACGTGACTAACCTGCATGTTAATGCGAAAACCATCATCTATTGATAGTAGATTCTAGTTGTCATTATTTCTATATTCGCTGTGTAAAATCCGAATCCGAGTCGTGAAAAGGTATTTGAACCTTCATTTTYCCGCTTACAAATGGTCTATATCAGTAATCCAATAAACAGGTAGGTTTTACATGGACCCTGTTTTGTAGATAATTAATCACTTAGGTTCAACTTCACCACTGGCATCCTCCTTTAAGGAACCTCTTCTTAAATAACGACATGATTCCAACGCTTTGAACTCCTCTTCCAGCGCACAGTGAGGCGGAGAAGGTGGTGGAGTTGTACCGGAAATGATGATATCTATACGTTGAAGCTGCCTAAGAGCTTAATGTTTAGTTGTGGGGCCTGGTTTTGCAGCATTCATAGAAGGGATAGATCCAAGAGTCATCCGCCTTCGTTCAAGTAGTGGAGATGACATAGGCGAGTTGATATCTGTCTTACCATGAAAGGAACCTCTTCTATTTACTAGAGGCGACGAAGGCGCAGCCAGTGAGTCAATATTGTTAACTGAACCCCTTCTCGGAGATGATGGAAGAAGTAGTTCCGAAGGAGAGTGAACACTTGTGGCTTTATCATTACTAATAGGCTTTCGTCTTTCCAATAAGGGCGATGAAGGGGCTGATTTGCTGCCCGGTTTATTAATTTCGGGTAGTTTGAGGCCATGCATTGTTATTCCTGTGTTATTCGAAACAGCAGTTGGTACCTTAACTTTCCTCAAGAAAGCTTTCGCTTCTTGATTCATTCGCTTCTCAAACTGATCTCTTTCAAGCCTGATGGAATCCTGCTGTTTTGCTTTTTCATTCTGAATCCTGACTTTACTGTGCACAACATTGTTCAGCTGTTTGGTTGATATTTTGTTGTCAAAAGTGATCGACTTCTCTCTTCGTTCAGATGCCATCGTCAGATAGTGTCTGTACAGTTGTAATGCAATTAATGAAACTGAACCAAGCTGTACACTAAAGCTGCGCTTGAATAGAACGTAAAGCTTTTTATTTCTTATCGATTGTTCTAAAGACGGTGCAATTGTTTTACTCAGGTTATTACATGTCTGCTTCATAGCGGAACTAAGTTTTTTAATTCCTTCGAGATTTATATTTGATAAGGTTTTTAGAAGGTTTACGTTTATTAAACACTTTAGTTTCACTTCTTTATTATTGTTATCATTATTGTTTTATTTTGTACTCGTATTAAAATCTGATATTCCCTACTCATCTGCGGGTTTCGTCCAAAGAAATGCTGTTTTATTGCTTTTAGTTCTTACGCGGTGACATAACAAATGAAAGATTAAACAGTGTTCTTTTTTTATCGGCTAAATAAAAAGCCTATGACTAATATTCGAATACGACAGATCCTTCATGGTTGCACTGGTCTTTATTGTCGGGTAATGAACAAATTTCAACAAATGATTGAACAGCCAGCTTATTATCAATTTCAAGTCGATAAAGTTAGAAAATAAGTAATTTATAAAATACTCATAATTGAATATCCAAAAGTGTTAAGTGTCAATAAACAATAAAAAAATTAAATTTGCGTTGCTTGGCAACAAATGGCAGTGAAAGGTATTTAATCGTCAACAAAAGATCAGTGTATTAAATCAAAAAGTGCTAAAAATAACTTGGAAAATATTGCGCAACGGGTATACAGTAGATGATCCCCTTCGGCCGCGTATCTATATGCACCGATAAAACACGGCCTCTATAATTTAAAATAACACTTTTAAAATATGCCCTTTGGCAGGAAAAACTTGGTTGCTACAGACGGATGTTTTCTCACAACTTTCATGCCTATCATGCTGGCGACACGATTCGCTCGTACTACTTGCTGACAACTGTAATGTCAGCTTAACTTAAAAGCATACAAGTGCAATTCCATCTATATGTGTTTATATATGACTATAGCTCAATCATCTGGACTGAAAGTATCAGATCTAGCCATCACCTAAGGTTCTGGCTTGATGGGATACTAGTCTCTCTCTATCACCTGGACTGCGAGTATCCCATCTAGCCATTACCTTAGGTGATACTTAGATGGGGTACTCGCAGTCCAGGTGATTGAGTTAGTCATATCTAAACACATAAATATTTATTATAGCTTAATTTATGCTATCGTAGGGCACGACTACCAGCCCACTGAATAAAATTCCCCTAACAATTATACTCTCTCTAGTCAAATCAAAGAAGACGTTCGGAAATCCTTCACCTTTGGCCATGCAAAAACATATGAAAAAACTGAAAAGTGAGCGCTCGTATGATTGATTGTCTCATGAGGCATTCAGCTGAAAGGAAAAAGAGTAACTAGCTTAGCTTGTGACAAGTCAAGGGTAATCTTAAATATGGTCAAGGATACCATTAAATACGGTCATTTGAAAAAAAAACTCTTAATTAAGGTCAAGGATACCCTTAATTTCGAAAAAAGGATACCCTTAAATACGGGCATTTGAAAAAGGATACTAAAGGGTACTATTAAATAAATCATTTCAAAAAAAGGATGCTATTAAAAACGGTTATTTGAAAAAAGGATACTCATAAATACGGTCATTTGAAAAAAATTTACGGTCAAGGATACTCTCATTAAAAGACTATATCCCGGTCGTAGAATGCATATCATATCGTGTGAGGACAGTCATTAGAAATTATCATTCGATATCATGCCGACCAATGTCACATCATAACAAATATCGCATTGGACATTCCTTCGGGGAGGTGGAGGTGTAAGTAATGGCTTACAAGAGGATTTCGGGTGAAAATATTGAACTAACGCATGGACTGCCTGCGGAGCAGATAACACAAGGAGCCCAACCCGTTTTCCACAAATATTCTCATTTAGCTTACAAAGCAGATGGTGCCTCAAAAAGATTCGTGTGCGCCTTTTTTTTTTTTTTTTTTTGCGCTTGGACGAACGGACAAATATAGTTTAAGAGTTTATTAGGAACATCAAAGATCCTTTCACTGGATGTGAACTACATGACACCATGTGGAAGCTACTTATTCAAACTCATTAAAAAGATCTTTTTAAAATCAGTTATAAGTTTACGTTTAACTCGAAGCAAAACAAACAAACAAACAAACAACAACAAAAAACAAGAAGAAAAAAACAAAACAATAACAACAACAATAAATAAAATAAAATAAAATAGATAAAAATAAACTTGATGGGCGGAACTGGTTTAAAAGCTGATGAGGAGCTTCAAGGTCCTTCCACTGGATGTGAACTCCATCAGACCATGACTATTTCACATCCAGTGAACATGACGAGCTACACGGCCTAGTTACCGGCGAGAAGCAGCACTTTCAAAGTGCTGGTTTCAAATTTCGTTTCTATTCATTGCATAGGGAATACTTGAGTAATGCATGTCATCGTACGGATTAACACAGCATGCCACTATCAATGGACGGCGCATTTATACATCACTGAAACAGTATTTACATCATTATAAGATATCATGTGACTCTTCTGTAGCGCTTTATTTGAAAGGGTCACTGAGAACGTTTCGATGAACTATTGCCCAAGATCAAAGGATTTCAGGTTTTTCTTACACATTATCACTCCTCTAACCCTTTTACTGTTATTTTATGTATGTGATGTGCGTTTATTGTCTTTGTATTAGATCTGTAGGCAGCATTTATGCTTAGGTACTTGCATACCTGTATAATTTGTATGCTTACTTAGATCACTGTCCGTGTTTTGTATTAGATCTGTAGGCAGCATTTATACTTGGGTACTAGTATACCTGTATAATTTGCATGCTTACTTAGATCACTGTCCGTGTTATGTATTAGATCTGTAGGCAGCATTTATACTTGGGTACTAGTATACCTGTATAATTTGTATGCTTACTTAGATCACTGTGTTTTGTAATAGATCTGTTGGCAGCATTTATGCTTAGGTACTAGTATACCTGTATAATTTGCATGCTTACTTAGATCACTGTGTTTCGTGATAGATGTGTCCAGTTTCTGTTTAGTAATACGTCTGCTGATTCTTAGCTCGTGTGGTACTTTTCATAAATGTTTGTTTCAATGAAATTGTTTCATTGGCTTTTTAATCCTACAGGTAATAAGTGATTATATGACAAGTATATTATGTTTTGGGTGTCTTATTGGGACTTYCATATCCAAGCGACCTACTAGCGCGAATGAGTTGGTTTATAACTCTAAGGCCGTGTTTTCACTAGGTTTCCTAACTAGCCTAAAA